ACATCAAATTATCTGAAACCTTGTTAGTGTTAAAATATTCCACTTCAGGTTTTCATATATTGTTAGAGTTTCATTTTGAATACTAGACTTTCTGTACTTGTAATACAATAGTTTATGGAGCAGAAGTGCACAAACTTCTGTTAACTGTTAGGAAGACTGTGGTGTCTTACCTGTAATTTAAGCTGGTTTAATGTTTAATTTGTCACCACAATGTACACCGCAGTTATGCATGACATTTCACATTATATTTAGAAAGAGACTAAGAAATTAGAATATTGCTTTTATTTGCATTTTCTTTTTCAAATGGACTTTGAAAACTATTGTTCTAGCCCAACAACACAGTATCCTCCTGACTTGTGGTTAGGCTGATGAATAAACTTCTTTCCAGCTCTCCTGTCATTGCAGTAGCTGAGTAGCCTTCTCTTCTGCCTTGGATGCCCACTTCTGTAATGATCAGTTCCACTTTTGAATGACTAATCTTCCTGGTCAGAATCCAGACCAGAATCTTCTAAGTTATTCTAATGTGGAGATCACCAAGTGCATATCATACGTATCAGCTTGAGGGGCAGTAGCATAAATGCTGCATCAGTGAAGTTCAGGTTAGGTGCCCTAAGGAGAGTGAGTCTTTAATATTGCCTTCTGCATTGGTGAGCATAAAGATGTTTGAATTCAGTTTGCTAGCTTTTAAGACCATTATGAACCCGAGCAATCGGAAATATGAGACAGCATGTTTTATTTTTCCTTTGGTTTTCCTTCAGTCTCAGAGGCCATAAGGTCTGAAAGTTCTCTATAGCAAAACAACTCCTTCAATAACTAGTGAAGACAATCAGCTAAGACAGAAATGGCTTACTTCTTGACAGGTAATGTTAAGGGAAATATATCCTACCATAGGATGGCTATTTATTCCCATGTCAAGCCACAACTCCCAAGTGAAATACTACCTTGGCTTAGCAGCGAAGTAAATAATCACAAGTGGTTGTGCCCTGTGTGCTACATTTCTACTTGTTATTAGAAAAGTTCATGGGGTTTTCTCTTCTTGTGTCACAGCTACTGATGAAAGCATCCAAGTTGGTGTCCACCGACAGTTCCTAACGCGCTCTACATGCCAGATAAACATGGTCATTGGCAAACGGTACCTTCTCATGGGGAAAGATGGGCAAACGGTTGATTGCAACAACAAGTAAGTGTGATGGAAGCTGCTATCATGGACAGCTGCTATTGAGAACCCAGAGGATACCTAACCTATTAGAATACCTCCAGAAAGCAAAGGCAGGGCCAAATTTCTTAGGGACTGATTCTTCTGGCTGTACTAAAATGGAAAGAGTACCACCCTGCAGGCAAAAGGGTAGCTGTGGGAAACAGCTGAGCCACCCAAATCTATCAGCTGATGTGATCTGTGCAGAGCCTGGTTCCCACACTTGTCAGAATCAAAATCTGTCCCTGATTCCACTGGATTAAAACTCACAGCTAGAGAAGGAGAATGAGGAGCACTATACAGTTCCATCTACTGCAGATACCTTACACAACACCCATGTTTGCAAAAGAAATAGGTGGGACCACAGCTAAGAGCAGCTCTCAAAGTTTCTGTTATGTCATGCATGCAAGTAGTATATTCTTCTCATTTCTCATTGTCACACTTCTGATGAAAAAAAGGCAATTTATCTGAGGAGGAATTTGGTCTGACACTGTCAAATATTCAGTGAGGAAGATATGTTAAATGTTTCATTTCCTTGTGCAAAACTGGAGAAGGATAGTGCCTCTGAAAGCTTCTAGGAGGGAGAGCCTCTCAATCAAATTGTGAGCACCACTTCCTAAAACATTAACAAGTCCCTTCACCCCATCACTGTATATCACACCAAAGTGAGTGCTTAAGTCAGGGGCCTGCTTCAACAGAAGCCTGCCAAAGGTTGAAGTCTCCCAGCAGAGGTGTAACTCCTGAGTCCTCTCCAGTCCAGTTGTATAATGGCAGAAGCTACACGGCTTCTCACCACAGAAAATGAGGAAACAATTGGGGATACACTGTTGAAACTGAACTCCCCTTCACTGTGTCCCACTGGTGTGCACTGGGGCTTTTTCTACCACTCTGGAAAACGCTAATGGAAACTTAGCCCAAGTTTACCTGGTGTCACTCCTAACACAAGTACAGCCAGGTTCGTCCTGCCTTGGCACTGGCACTTCCCAGACTTGATTCAAAGCTCAGTTAACCTCAGTTGCTGGTGCAACTAGATTTCAGGCAAGTTTCTTGGCTAGTATAACTCCTCCTGATCTCAGGGATGCCTCAGTGGCGGGATGGAACATCATGGGGTTTGTGCTTTCCCATTGCTCCATGTCAGCAGTAATGACTCACCTCCTTTACCTGTCCCACTTGCACTCAGGATGCAGTACTTCCTTGATGCACAAGCCTGGATAGAGAAGATTCCAGAAGACAGTGAGTGCCGCACCACCCTGCACCGCCAAGCCTGTGCTGACCTCCAGGACTTCATGAGCACGCGGGACAGCCTGTGCCTCTTCTGAACGACTGTTCTGCTCCCTACATCCCATCCCTGTCGCTCCATTTGGAATTTTTCTTGCAAACCTTGTGCATCAGAGAGGCACCTGAAACATTGCCAAGCTGCTTCTGTTGCTATCTGTTTTGCTGATTGTGGTATCTCCTGGTGGATGTATGTGTGTGTGGGCAATACAACAAAAATAGCAGTTACTCTACTGGTTGTCGTGTTTATTGTCCCTGGCAATAAACATTGAGAAGAGAGCAGGAATTTCTGTCTCTCTGATCCCTTATAAAGCAGTGCAATTATCCTGCAAGGGATCATATGAAAAAACACTGTCCTTGCAGAGCTGATTAGTTCCTGCAGTCACTGTCACTCAACAAAGAAAGAGGCTGAGAAATTTGCATGGGTCAGAAAGAAGACTGGGCATTCCTGGGCTTACCAAGTACAGCTGTGTTACGCTGCCACTGAAAGAAAAGAGATACTAATGCTCATGCTTCAGCACATCAGTTATTTTCTGATTTTAACTGTGAGCCCTCATGTAGGGGAATGAATGATCCCACGCTGCTTCTGTTGCTATCTGTTTTGCTGATTGTGGTATCTCCTGGTAGATGTATGTGTGTGTGGGCAATACAACAAAAATCGCAGTTACTCTACTGGTTGTCGTGTTTATTGTCCCTGGCAATAAACGTTGAGAAGAGAGCAGGAATTTCTGTCTCCCTGATCCCTTATAAAACAGCGCAATTATCCTGCAAGGGATCATATGAAAAAACACTGTCCTTGCAGAGCTGATTAGTTCCTGCAGTCACTGTCACTCAACAAAGAAAGAGGCTGAGAAATTTGCATGGGTCAGAAAGAAGACTGGGCATTCCTGGGCTTACCAAGTACAGCTGTGTTACGCTGCCACTGAAAGAAAAGAGATACTAATGCTCATGCTTCAGCACATCAGTTATTTTCTGATTTTAACTGTGAGCCCTCATGTAGGGGAATGAATGATCCCACTCGGACCACAGCAGGATTCCCGTATGGACTTCTGCAGATGGAACTGGAGCTGGCCCAGCATCAGGGATGGGCAACTGGACTGTATACATCCTGCTCCTGACCCATGCACCAGCTAGTCAGCTGGTAGATCACTGAGGGCACAGAATTGCTTTTTAATTGCACTTTGTAGCCACACATCTTTCCAGCTTTTCTGGTTTTAGAGTTTAATTACTTTGCATTACTTTTTAAAGAAAAGCCTGACACAATCTGTAGGTGCATCTTTCTGAAGTGTTGCTGGTTCTGTGGCTACGCAATCAGCTCTGCAGTGGAGATGCAACACACGTCAGGGAAAGGTGGAGGCTTGGCTGCCACAGTCACAAAGGCATCCACAAATGGCAAACTAGGTTGATGATGAAAATAACCCCAAAACTCAAAACCCAGGACAATTTCTTTTCCTCGATGTTTGCCTGAGCTTTCAGATTTAGGGAGTGTAACTCTAATGCCTGCATATATATTCTCTTCTTTTTATTACAGAACACGTCAGGGAAAGGTGGGGGTTTGGCTGCCACAGTCACAAAGGCATCCACAAATGGCAAACTAGGTTGATGATGAAAATAACCCCAAAACTCAAAACCCAAAACGCAGGAAAATTTATTTTTCTCAAGGTTTGCCCCAGCTTTCAGATTTAGGAAATGTGACTCTAATGCCTGCACATATATTCTCTTCTTTTTATTACAGAGCTTATAGAAATGTCATTGATATGGCAAAATCCAGCTGAGGTCAGTAAAGCAAGTGCTAATTTCTACTTATACAAGATAAAGAATAGGCTGTTCCACTGACAATCCAACTATCCAATAATTCTGCTAATAGTTATGAAATAATTCCTCTAAGGTTAGGGGCCAAATCCTTCTTTCCATTCCACAGGACTTGAGTTAAATACCAGTATCTGACCTTTTTGCGGTGTGGAGTAAATCAAGAGCTCAGAGGTTCTTGCTTAGCAGACAAATCACCAAATAATTGCTGCACTCAAGGCTCTGTAATATGTGGTGAAAGCATCATTAAAATTTCATATTGGGTTTAAGATCTGACAATGCAACTATCCAGTAATTCTGCTAATAGTTATGAAATAATTCCTCTAAGGTTAGGGGCCAAATCCTTCTTTCCATTCCACAGGACTCGAGTTAAATACCAGTATCTGACCTTTTTGCGGTGTGGAGTAAATCAAGAGCTCAGAGGTTCTTGCTTAGCAGACAAATCACCAAATAATTGCTGCACTCAAGGCTCTGTAATATGTGGTGAAAGCATCATTAAAATTTCATATTGGGTCTAAGATGCATTTTACATATTTTATTGCATTTCACTTTGAGATGAGTATAAACTGAAACTGCTTAGTGCCTAAACTTCACAGATGCAATAATTGCTACACTCAAGGCTCTGTAATATGTGGTGAAAGCATCATTAAAATTTCATATTGGGTTTAAGATGCATTTTACATATTTTATTGCATTTCACTGCCTAGTGCCTAAACTTCACAGATGCAGTCTCCTAATGTGAGAGCTATGTGTGATTATTAAACTATTTTTACTTTTATTTTTGGTACAGAGGACTCACGCATGCTTCTACTTTAATTCTGGTAATCTGGAACCTCTTGGAACCCCTTGCTTCCTGGGAAATGCTTTAAATCTCTCTGCCCAAGGAGTTAGCATAGAACAGTCTCTATCCCCCTCTATTTTTCTGCCCCAAACTCTCAAGCATATTTATAGGGAGAGGGAAGACAATGGTGGAATTATTCTCTGCTGCCAAGGTTGTTAACGTTTGCAGGTAGCGCAGCTGAAGACCTGCCGGAGACTCGGCCAGCACCATGGAGGCTTGCTTGAGGGCTTTGGAAGCATTCATTTCTCCCTCTGCTGCCACAACCTGTGAAGTAAGAGAAATGGAAATGGCACTGTGACACTGCCCATAATGGGGGAAATTCAGCTTTACAATGAGGGGAAAGCAAATGGGCATTTGGATGCCTGGGACAAGGATACAGGAGCTTGGGGGTAGACATTGCTGTGGGTCCCACCTTAGCTCTTGCCTCCCGAGAAGCCTCTGCTTCAGCTGCCATTGCCCTCTGCATGGCCACAGGAATCCTGACATCTTTGATCTCCACTCGGGCCACTTTGATTCCCCACTGCTCCGTGGCACTGTCGAGGATACCCTTAGGGACAAACACACAACCCACCATGTAGAGCACACTAATGGCAGACAGAAAACCACACAATGGCAGAGAGAAAACCACTTTCTGCCACTTGGACAGAAGGAAAGGCAGCGTGCAAACCTGCACAACAAAAATAAGGAGGCCTCCAGGGGCACTAAAATCCAACATACAACCTTATGAAACTCTTGCTGATCAACACCAGTGTCTCCTGTGTGGTTTTCTGATCCCTTATAAAGCAGTGCAATTATCCTGCAAGGGATCATATGAAAAAACACTGTCCTTGCAGAGCTGATTAGTTCCTGCAGTCACTGTCACTCAACAAAGAAAGAGGCTGAGAAATTTGCATGGGTCAGAAAGAAGACTGGGCATTCCTGGGCTTACCAAGTACAGCTGTGTTACGCTGCCACTGAAAGAAAAGAGATACTAATGCTCATGCTTCAGCACATCAGTTATTTTCTGATTTTAACTGTGAGCCCTCATGTAGGGGAATGAATGATCCCACTCGGACCACAGCAGGATTCCCGTATGGACTTCTGCAGATGGAACTGGAGCTGGCCCAGCATCAGGGATGGGCAACTGGACTGTATACATCCTGCTCCTGACCCATGCACCAGCTAGTCAGCTGGTAGATCACTGAGGGCACAGAATTGCTTTTTAATTGCACTTTGTAGCCACATGTCTTTCCAGCTTTTCTGTTTTTAGAGTTTAATTACTTTGCATTACTTTTTAAAGAAAAGCCTGACACAATCTGTAGGTGCATCTTTCTGAAGTGTTGCTGGTTCTGTGGCTACGCAATCAGCTCTGCAGTGGAGATGCAACACACGTCAGGGAAAGGTGGAGGCTTGGCTGCCACAGTCACAAAGGCATCCACAAATGGCAAACTAGGTTGATGATGAAAATAACCCCAAAACTCAAAACCCAGGACAATTTCTTTTCCTCGATGTTTGCCTGAGCTTTCAGATTTAGGGAGTGTAACTCTAATGCCTGCATATATATTCTCTTCTTTTTATTACAGAACTTATAGAAATGTCATTGATATGGCAAAATCCAGCTGAGGTCAGTAAAGCAAGTGCTAATTTCTACTCATACAAGATAAAGAATAGGCTGTTCCACTGACAATGCAACTATCCAGTAATTCTGCTAATAGTTATGAAATAATTCCTCTAAGGTTAGGGGCCAAATCCTTCTTTCCATTCCACAGGACTCGAGTTAAATACCAGTATCTGACCTTTTTGCGGTGTGGAGTAAATCAAGAGCTCAGAGGTTCTTGCTTAGCAGACAAATCACCAAATAATTGCTGCACTCAAGGCTCTGTAATATGTGGTGAAAGCATCATTAAAATTTCATATTGGGTCTAAGATGCATTTTACATATTTTATTGCATTTCACTTTGAGATGAGTATAAACTGAAACTGCTTAGTGCCTAAACTTCACAGATGCAATCTCCTAATGTGAGAGCTATGTGTGATTATTAAACTATTTTTACTTTTATTTTTGGTACAGAGGACCCACGCATGCTTCTACTTTAATTCTGGTAATCTGGAACCTCTTGGAACCCCTTGCTTCCTGGGAAATGCTTTAAATCTCTCTGCCCAAGGAGTTAGCATAGAACAGTCTCTATCCCCCTCTATTTTTCTGCCCCAAACTCTCAAGCATATTTATAGGGAGAGGGAAGACAATGGTGGAATTATTCTCTGCTGCCAAGGTTGTTAACGTTTGCAGGTAGCGCAGCTGAAGACCTGCCGGAGACTCGGCCAGCACCATGGAGGCTTGCTTGAGGGCTTTGGAAGCATTCATTTCTCCCTCTGCTGCCACAACCTGTGAAGTAAGAGAAATGGAAATGGCACTGTGACACTGCCCATAATGGGGGAAATTCAGCTTTACAATAAGGAGAAAGCAAACAGGCATTTGGATGGCTGGGACAAGGATAAAGGAGCTTGGGGGTAGACATTGCTGTGGGTCCCACCTTAGCTCTTGCCTCCCGAGAAGCCTCTGCTTCAGCTGCCATTGCCCTCTGCATGGCCACAGGAATCCTGACATCTTTGATCTCCACTCGGGCCACTTTGATTCCCCACTGCTCCGTGGCACTGTCGAGGATACCCTTAGGGACAAACACACAACCCACCATGTAGAGCACACTAATGGCAGACAGAAAACCACACAATGGCAGAGAGAAAACCACTTTCTGCCACTTGGACAGAAGGAAAGGCAGCATGCAAACCTGCACAACAAAAATAAGGAGGCCTCCAGGGGCACTAAAATCCAACATACAACCTTATGAAACTCTTGCTGATCAACACCAGTGTCTCCTGTGTGGTTTCTCTACTACCTCCTAAATTATGAACCCCATCCTATCTTCAGGCGGGCACTTACCAGATTAGTGTGCATACAGTGGGTACAACAACCTTATGAAACTCTTGCTGATCAACACCAGTGTCTCCTGTGTGGTTTCTCTACTACCTCCTAAACTATGATCCCCATCCTTTCTTTAGGTGGGCACTTACCAAACTTCTCCCTTTGACAAAGTAATACTACAGCAATTTCCTAAACCAGCACGATGCTGTAAAAACATGTAAAAGCACACTACACAGCACAGCTCTGCAGCACTGGCATGGTCTTCTCTGCTTGGGCTCCTGGGCACTACTGCAACCCACATCTCCACCCTGACCCCACTCTGCCCACAGCCGCTGCCCTGGCTGGAGAGGGGTACCATCTCTCTTCGATTTGACTGTGCCTTTTCTGTGACTGAAAAGAGTAAATTAGGTCTTGGTTTTCTTCTCTGCCACCTCCTTGGCTGCCAAATTAAAAAAAAAAACAAACCCCACAAACAGATGGCACTTTAAAGCATAAAACTACTCGGTTCTGTTCTCCTAGTTGTTATGACAGGAGATGCAGGCCTTGCCTTGATTAAGCTTCCATCAAGAGTCTGCTCAAGATAGAGCTTCCCATGAGCAGCAGACTTCCTCCTCACAGCTTGCAGCAGCCTCTGTATAAAGACTAAACTAATTTAATAAACTCAATGGAGTTTCACATTTTCAGAATATTAATTGCTTTTTGATAGAAATAACTCTTCTTCAAGAACCTGGGGAAATACCTTTAGAATAACTCTTTCTGACTCTAAACAGTAAGATGTAAATTGAAAAAAAACCATACAGGGCAATTTTGCCATCATTGTCAAAGAAAGAAGGAGGGATCATTTCTAATTTGCTACTCCCCAGAACACATCTCCATGGTTTTCAGTGAATTTTGAGAGCCATATTTACCTGGATACTGTGTGCAATCTCCTCACGACCTGACAGGAGCTGAGCCAAGCTCTGTGTACCCAGAATGTTTCTCAGGGTTGTCTGTGCCAGGAGGAAGGTGGCCAAGTGGACATCAGTGACATTAGCGACGGCGCTAACAGCACTGTGGATCCTGTAGTACACCACCCCATCGACTTGGGTAGTAACAGAATCTTTTGTGAGAATCTGTATTGCAGAAATGGGCAGAATTAGAGAATGATCCAATACCACATGCCTTGCCAAGGAAGGGGATTACTTTTTTTTTCCCTCAGTGAGGAAAAGGCCCTGATAATTGGAGGAAACAAAGAATTTTGTTTGCTTTCTTTGTTATTCCCCTGAGAAATATATTCAAGGAAGTTATCAAGGAAGGACCTGGGAGTATTTTGAGAGCCAGATTTACCTGGATACTGTGTGCAATCTCCTCACGACCTGACAGGAGCTGAGCCAAGCTCTGTGTACCCAGAATGTTTCTCAGGGTTGTCTGTGCCAGGAGGAAGGTGGCCAAGTGGACATCAGTGACATTAGCGACGGCGCTAACAGCACTGTGGATCCTGTAGTACACCACCCCATCGACTTGGGTAGTAACAGAATCTTTTGTGAGAATCTGTATTGCAGAAATGGGCAGAATTAGAGAATGATCCAATACCACATGCCTTGCCAAGGAAGGGGATTACTTTTTTTTTCCCTCAGTGAGGAAAAGGCCCTGATAATTGGAGGAAACAAAGAATTTTGTTTGCTTTCTTTGTTATTTCCCTGAGAAATATATTCAAGGAAGTTATCTTGCATCACCAATAGTTTAAACGAGGGCAAAATGGATGATCCCGAGGGTCTCTTCCAGCCTTGATGATTCTGCGATTCTGTAATCTTGCATCACCAATAGTTTAAACCAGGGCAAAATTTGTACATAGCCTTTAGACATCTGTTTCAGCAGTAAGTGAATCTCATAACCCTCATTAATTCCTTCTGCAATACTGAATGGTTGTTATCCTCTTCCTTTCTGGTAGAAAGGACCATTACTGGGCTTGAAGATCTGTGTTAATTCCCCTAAACAATGTGTTTGTACGAAACGCCAGTAAATTGAAACAAAAGTGAAAAGCAAAGTGCAAGAAATTGTAAGAAGAAACTCTGAATAATATTTAAGTATTCAGAGAGGAGGTGTGTCATCTTTTGGCAAACAAGTCAGCAGGCAGTTGGCCTCAGCAAAGCACTGCTGGTGCTCCACTGTCTCTTCCCTCCTCGGCATCTTTTGCCTGTGAATAAGTGCTTCATAGTCTCCCTGCTAACAGCTGCAGAAGCCTTGCCAAAAGCTGCTAGTGTTAATTCCCCTAAACAATGTGTTTGTACGAAACGCCAGTAAATTGAAACAAAAGTGAAAAGCAAAGTGCAAGAAATTGTAAGAAGAAACTCTGAATAATATTTAAGTATTCAGAGAGGAGGTGTGTCATCTTTTGGCAAACAAGTCAGCAGGCAGTTGGCCTCAGCAAAGCACTGCTGGTGCTCCACTGTCTCTTCCCTCCTCGGCATCTTTTGCCTGTGAATAAGTGCTTCATAGTCTCCCTGCTAACAGCTGCAGAAGCCTTGCCAAAAGCTGCTAAGCCTTGACAGCACAAGTACCACAACCATCTTCCTTCCAGCCTCCTCTTTTGGGGAGCCATTTTTCATTCCACCACATGCACGCCCGCATGCACTCTGAGAAAAGGCTCTTTGTGGTTATGGAAAGATAATGGTCCAAGAAAGAGCTCCTGGGGGACACAGAGGGCAATTCCAGGGGCCAAAGGGGTCCTGAGGCCATTCCATCATGTCTTCTCTTCACATAAGGAAGGAGACAGCAGTGCCAACTTCACCAGCAGAAACATTGTACCATGGTGGGGTTGGGGCCACATGGAGCAAAAACATTTCTGGAAGGATGAGAATTGCTCAGCCACTGATTCTTCAGACTAAATTCTTCAATCAATGTTTGTCAATAAAATGCCTAATGGTATGCCTCTCCATTCCCACTTGGATCTGAGTTGTGTGGCTGATTGCTAATTCCTTTTAATTTAAGGAAGTTTGTTATCCCTATGTAATTTGCCTTTTGAGAAACACATAGGGTGTGCACACCTTTAAGCAAAGACTACAACATCACCAAGGGCTTTTTTGAATGGTGAGCTACATGAGATCCAATTTTATTAGGACATTCTATTCTGCATATCTTACACTAGTCTGTTGCTTCATTTCCATGTGTGGAGTAAAAATACAACTGGGAATTTTTTAGCCTCTTCTCTCTTGTCCTCTCTGACTCCTATTTGCAGTTCTACCCCACCCTCCCTTAACTTCTGTCTCACAGTTCTGAACGTCAGCAAGAAGAGTTTGCTTGGCCTGCAATAATGCATGTGCAGGTTTTCATAAGTAGAAATTTTGTAAGCAGTTTGGAAGTCAGAAGATACAGCAAATAAGCTAAACTCTATACAGTAGCTTGCAGCTGTAAGACTATAAGACACCCACATTAGTTTTGATCAAGCCACAAACGAGATTTACATTTATTTCTGGCTGCTAGAGAATAGTTACCTCTTGTGGAGGAATCTTACAGGTAACAGTTCTAAGATCAACCTTGATAAATGTATCTGTACATGGAAGTATGAGGATCAAACCTGAAAAATAAAAATAATGAGATGAAACACTTGTTTCTGAAAGCTAAGCCTAGAGATTGGTATCATGTACAAAGCAAACAGATGGAAATATCCACAAGATGGAGAACGAGTCCCATTATGTAGTAATGAATTATTACTACAGCTGTCCTTTCTGCTATGGAAGGTGACAACATTGAGGTTTTGCATTATCATATAACAGAGCGAAATGCAGATATCTGCAAATAATGTGAATTTATTAGAAGTTGACAGCATAGGGCTCTAGACAGGGAACGGGCAGGTTGCAGTTCTGGTCTCGAATCTGCCGTGAGACTTGTGACAAAATCTCCTTCAATGACTTTGTGTAGTTTCCCCTCTTTAGATCATAGGCCATTTATGGTACAGTATGTGTGTCTCCAGGAAAGACATCTCCCAGGTCCAGATTCCTGCACCACCTGTAAGCCTCCATAGTAGGAATGTAGCCCCAAGATCTGACCATCAGTGAAGGAGTCCACTCTCCCCTTGCTAGAGAGAAGGACTTGACATAACTATCTAATCTCAGCATTTTTCTTAGGTGCCCAGAGCTCTGCACCTGCCCTAGCTTCTCTTTGGACCACATGGCTATTATTCAAGAGGAAAGACAGTATCCAGACTTCCTCTTATTTCAACCTCCAGCTTGCCCAGTTCCATTGCACAGAGGTGGTAACTGCACCAATGCAAACGCCTCATGTTGTTCGCTTTGGTTTGTGATTTATAACCTGGTCCTAGGTGACTGTAACAGACTCTGTATAGATGCAGAGTGTCCCTGTCCTGAGACATTTACCCTTTTCAGAGCAGAAAATGCCTAAAGATCTGGCAGAAATGAGCAGTGTTGAAAGTGAGATACAAGGAGAGTGACCACAGTCACCCAAAAACATCTGCTGCAGGTCCAGAGAAGGGCGACAAAGATGGTGAGGGATCTGGAGAATAAGTCTTATGAGGAGAGGCTGAGGGAACTGGGGTTGTTCAGCCTGGAGAAGAGGAGGCTGAGGGGAGACCTTATTGCTCTCTACAACTACCTGAAAGGAGGGTGTAGAGAGATGGGGGGCGGTCTCTTTTCTCAAGTCACAGGCAACAGGACAAGAGGAAATGGCCTCAAGTTGCGCCAGGGGAGGTTCAGGCTGGATATTAGGAAAAATTTTTTCACTGAAAGGGTTATCAGACATTGGAATGGGCTGCCCAGGGAGGGGAGTGAGGCACCATCCCTGGAGGTGTTCAAAAGACGGGTTGATGAAGGGCTGGGAGGTATGGTTTAGTGATGATGCTCCTTGTTTGTTGTGTGGGTGGCTATTTTTGTCAGTTAGGTTGACGGTTGGACAAGATGATCTTTAAGGTCCCTTCCAACCTAGAAGATTCTGTGATTTTGTGAAGACTGCATTTAAACTTCCGTGATCCCCCATCAGTGTTTGCAGCATGAACTCAAGCTTCCATTCTCCAACCTACTCAACAACAAAGCCATACCTGGCATGAAGGTCCTCAACCTTCTGTGTTGTGCTGTGACAGGGGTGGGGCTTTATCTTTCCATCAGAAAAATAAACAGCCTGCAGGTAAAGGAACTGCAGCAGAAGGGACCATCTCATCCCCCGCCCTGTGCTATGAAGAAGGATTCCATGGACTTTTGCTGTTCTCTATGTGGTTAGAATGCGTCATAAGAAAATAAAACCAGTGCATCTTAAGAGAATAAAACTGCATGCATTCACCTGGTCCCTTTGCTTTCTTAGACAGGATACGTCCCAGCCGAAACACAACAGCACGTTCATATTCTCTGACAACCTAGGAAAATATTTTAAATTTAGAATTTTACAAATAACTCTATTCCTGCTTTCCAGGCTGATTTTTTTTTAAATCTTTGGCATCTGTATTAAATGTGAAAAAAGTACAAATAATATAGGAATCAACAAAGCTGCAAGTCACTAGGCATTTTATGACTTTTCCTCACCTCATCCTTTGCTGGAAAAACTCAGACCCTGCCCCTGCAAATATGTTACAAAACAGACCAAATATGAACGAATTGCCATTGATCTAATGAGGTTAGACACAACCCTCTCAGCATCAGTGCTGCACTCAGAGAAGCTGTAGGAAAAAAGTATCACTCACCTCAGAAATTCTAGCTAATTACTTCAGTTAGTGTATCACAACAAGGACTGATGTTCAGGGCAATCAATAACCCCTAAAAATTGATTTAAATTAATCATATTATACCAATCATCCCTTGAAGGGACTGTGGGTTTAGGTTGCATAGTTCCTCACTGCAGGGACCTGCTTCTTTTTTCATCAGTACCCATGTTAATTACTATTGCTGGCAGCATCAAATATGAGTTCTTCAGAAAAGTTTGTATATTTATTCTCCCAGTGCTGTTGTAAAGCAAGGGAGTTTAATTGACAATGGAAGCTGAGGTTGCAAGAATTGTGGTGATACAGAAAGTGAGTGGAAGAACATGGATCTCTTGGTCTCAGGCCACGTCTTTGCTACAAGCCCTTACGATTTCCAAAAAATGAATGTTAAGCGCCTGGTTTTAACAAAATCAATAAATCAATAAATCAATAACGATTTTCATAGAGCTTTCTTTATGTGCCCCAAATCCCACTAGCTTACCTTGATACATGCCCAGATGGATATAGGAAAGGTAATAAGCACCAGGAGGAAAGAAAGGGAAACCAGGATCCAGCCACAGACACCAATTCCGTCCTGTCTGTCAGCTATAACAAAAAAAAAAAAAAAAGGAATAAAGCAGTGAATGCAAAAATTCAAATTTTGAAAAGAGTTATCTGAGGGAAGTAGATCTAGCCCAGTGCAATCATGAGGGACTGCAAAGTCCACAGAGACTGGTTCCTGTTTACCTCCTTCCCTTCGCTCACTGAAAGCTGTAGAACACCTCACCAAATATCCAACCTTATGCCCCTTCTGCTCCAAAGCTTAAAAGGTTCAGAAAGTACATTTTGCAACTGGGAAGTAAGAGGACAAATGAAAAATATTGCCAAGGATGGGGACTGTGAAGGAGAAATAAATCATTGGGTGGAGTATCCTCCATGGATATGAATCTCTGCCAGAGCACCAGGGCTGGGGCAAAAGATTTAGTTTGTATGAAGCAGGTAATAAGGAGAATGGGAGAAACTGCTGCTGTCTTTAAACGAAAGTTTTGAGGGATATTGATGGACCAGTTCATTCACTAAACCAGAAGCTTCCAAATCAGTGCTTGTCTACATCCACATCCGTGCATTTTGAGAAGTTCTCTCACTGCATTCAGCTCTTCTCATCCCAAAAATTCATTATGATGAAATTTCACTATTTCATTATAATGAAATGAAAATATAACAAAATAATTTCACTATTATTATTTTCCTGAAGGGAAAGCAGTGGTGAGTTGTTGTTCAAGTACTAAAAGTTTGGGAGTCTCTTTGTAAGGGAAAAATGTTCAAGGAGCTGTTGCTCTTTGAAGAGCAGCTGGAGATCCTCACAGGAGAGGCACAGAAGAGGGTGAGGAATGAAGCAGTCCTGCCACCAGGACAGAGTGCTGCAAGGTCAACTGAATTTTGCTAAATGCAGAAATGCCTTGAATCGGTAAAAAAGCAGATGCATCAGGAATGCTGGCTGGGCTCGCCCCACGGGCAGTCTGACTGCCAGGTTTGGGCCAGAAGAGGAACTTCACAGGCATGAGCATCCCCAGATGGGAAGCTGAACGCCAGAGCCTACATTTCCCATCACAAGAGGAAGAGGCAGGAGAGAGGGAAGAAGGCTCAGAGGTGTCCTCAGAGAACCTCCCCCATGCTGATGCAAAGATGCAGCGTGTTCTGGATATGTTACCACAAAGATACAGGGTAGCACTGGGAATTTCTAACATCAAATAAAATTCATATGCAGATAAAAGCTGATAAATAGAAAAGAAAACAGTTCGTTATATACCTTGTGAGAAAAAAACTTGTCACCACAGTGAAACAGCATGAGGCTACCTGATCTGTAAGGCACAAGCCAACAGACCAGCAAAGCAGGACTGACAGGTTTGTCAGAAAACCCCCAGCAGCCCTGGAGGAGGAGACACAACCCAGCCCTCCTGCAGCTCCTCCTCTCTTGGGTTCCTCTGTGTTTGCAATGTTAACTGCAAACCTGGGTGTTACCACCAAGACCTTTGCTGCTTGAAGTTTTGCCCATCCTACTTTTGAAGTCCCCACCGTGGATTTAAGCACTGACATAAATATGTTTGTGTCCAAGAGGGCTACGTTTCAGGTCTCCCTTGGACTGTTTGCCCTGAGAGCTGTGCAGAGAACCACTGCACTGGGAACCCGGCTTTCCTCCCGGCACTTTCCAACAAACAGTAATTTGAAATCCCTGGTTGTTTAACGAGGAATCATCAGTAACGCTGCAATCAGCAGTAGGAAGGATTTGAGGAGCTCCCCTGAGTAAATTACCATGCAAACCATGTGTTTGAAGACAGGACTTTTAAGATTCAGTGTGAAAATCTCTAACGCTTTCACTGTTGCTTGGTTGCCACAGAAAGCTCTTCACATTACACTAGTGGTATGTCAGACTGCAACAGGCAAATGAAGTACCAGTGGTTGAGCATGTTTTAATCAGTGCAAAAAGATCAAGGAAACTTGTGGGATGGGTATCATTCATAATTCTTTATCTGAAGCTTGAGGAAATTAATCATGAAGGGATGCTTTGTTCAGCAGAGCTCAGTATTTTGCACTCTCTATTTCACCTAAATGATTAACTTACAGAAAAATGTCTGAAGATCTTTTTCTCCAGTGGCAAACTTGGTCATGAAGAACCTCCTTAAAAGCAATTTTAGACTGTAACATCGTCCACCTGAGACCACTGTGAAGATACCTGGTAGGAATGACACAATCCCACCTTGATGCAGTCCTGAGTAATATGTTCTAGGCAATCCTGCTTTAGCAGGGAGTTGGACCAGATGATCTCTAGAGGTCCCTTCCAACTCTGACAATTCTGTGATTCCATGAATCCACAGACAGGGAGGAATGGCTGGAAACAAATGTCCACACCCTGCAGATTGATATTCATGCAGCTGAGAAGTAGGTCAAGATATCACTTATCACCACTATGGGCAAGAAGCACACATCCAAAACTGACAAAGTATAAGTGAATCCTTCTCCATGAACACTGTCCTAGAGATCCTGTTGCCAAAGTAGATTCCAGTGACAAAAGCAGGATATGACAGTATGCCCTCTTGTAGCTAATCCAGACCTAACTCCCCAAAATACACCACAAAGGTTCTCCGATTACCCTGAAGTTTCAAACCATTTAACCACAAGACAAATGGAAGACTCAAGAAAAACACAATAATGAAGAATAAGGATCAGCCACAACCCAATATATCAGAGACCTGGTTTTGCCATGCCTGTATATGGACAACTATAGTCATAAGCACCAAAAAAATAATCACTTGGGTCTGCAGTCCAGAGCAAACCAAGAGCTGCAATACACTGCAAAATGTGAGAGCTCATCAACCAGCAGTTGGGGAAAAGCTCATGGACACTTGCAGAATCCACTTTGTTTTTTCTTGATACATGCATCACGATACATCATGAACACAACTGATACACAAGATAATGCTGTGGGCGTTGAACTTGAAAAGCTCATGTCCAAGTTATCTTGTGAGGAATATAAAGAACTGTGGACAAATATCTCCCAAGTCTCCTACAGCAACAAAGAGAGATGGAGTAGCCTCAGCCTTTTGTAAACTCAATGTACCCTCCTGCTTTCTACAAGCACCTAAATCAGTCCTGCCAGGACTCATGCTTGTCCCACTGCACCATCCACACGAATGGCCAGACACGAAGGTGGAAACAGCACACATGGCCCATAACAACTTTGTTCTGGCATCAGTTCCCTGACTTGAAGAGAGCACCAGGTGCTTGTCACACAAGTCCAAGCACATCGAGTGCTTTCGGGGCTGAAAATTTCTTCTACCTTCCCTAACTCCAATTTTCCCCTTTCACACCATCCCTACACACAGAAGTGCATCAATAGCCAAATTGTATGTGGTAGCCCCTGGGGTCATTTCAGCAGAAGGCAGATGCTGACACGTGCTGGCAGGGCAGTATGAGGTAATTTGCTCTGTCACTCAGTGCCACAGACTGAATTTGCATCTCCAGCCCATGTGAGAGACTTTTGATGAATGCTTGGGTTCAAATACACTTTTTATGTTTGGTTAATTTAATTCCTTTTTATTATTGAGATCCCCCCCCCACACACACACACAAAACCCACAAGGCTTACCAATCAGATGCTCCGTGTTGTTTTTCTTGGGTGTCTCTCTCTGGGGATCCATCCCAGTTGGGGGAAGCTCTGGTCCCCTCACAGATGAGACAGCAGCATACCTTGAAACCGCGGAGCACTCGTGCGAAGCGCTGAAGAGAGAAGCAGGGTGAGAGAAGCAGAAATCCCCACTGGCAGAAGAGCCCTCTGGGAGTCAGTTACCCTGGTGAGAGGGGGATGTTTACAGAAACAAAGTCTTGCGGATGACGGTTGTCTCTGAAGTAACTCCATGGTCTTCTGTGGCCGTCTTCTGGCCAGGGAAGTACTTGGCCCAGATGGTTTTACACCCCATACAATCCAAGATGGAAATTATTTCTATGCATTGGTAATATCTGTCACCAGAGAGAAAAAACAAGACAGGACAGAAAGAGAAGATGAAGAGGGCAGAAGTCCTATGAGGAGTGGCTGAGGGAACTGGGGCTGTTCAGCCTGGAGCAAAGGAGGCTGAGGGGAGACTTCATCGCTCCCTGCAACTACCTGAAAGGAGGGTGTAGCCAGGTGGGTGTCAGTTCAGCCTGGAGCAAAGGAGGCTGAGGGGAGACTTCATCGCTCCCTGCAACTACCTGAAAGGAGGGTGTAGCCAGGTGGGTGTCAGTTTCTTTTCCCGAGTAACAAGTGACAGGACAAGAAGAAATGGCCTCAACTTGCACCAGGGAAGGTTTAGATTGGATATTAAGAAAAAATTCTTCTCCGAAACGGTTTAGATTGGATATTAGGAAAAAATTCTTCTCTGAAACAGTTTATCAAGCACTGGCTGCCCAGGGAACTGGTTGAGTCACCATCCCTGGAGGTATTTAAAAGACATGTCGACGTGGTGCCGAGGGACATGGTTTAGTGGTGGACTTGGCAGGGTCAGGTTTATGGTTGGACTCGATGATCTTAAGGGTCTTTTTCAACATAAATGGTTCTATGATTTTATAAAGCCAGAGGATACAGACCGAGTACTGCTCCTCTGCTGTACGCTTCTGAGTATCACAGGGTCAGCTACTGTTCAGTTCTCAAACACTGGCAGCATAAATAATCCTCCAGGTGAGGTCCCTGTGCTGTGCAAAATAGCTCATCACACACTTCTTGATACTGCACATCACAACAGGCCGAACCCTGTTGTGCTAAATAACCTAAACACTGCAGTAGAAGCATTTCAGCTCCAAAGCCTTAATATTTTTTTTCCCCAAATAAGACTATTCTTCACAAAACACTTCTTAATCTTGACAATCAAACTAAGCACAGCATTTCAGATGAAGCCATTTCTGAAGGCTGCAGGAGAGCAGCAGAGAGTTTGTCTCTCAAAGGACACAAACCTGTTCCTTGTTATTTGAGAATAAATGGGAGGTGGCTTTCCATATGTAATTTATGAGTTTGACATATACCTGCATTAAATATATGGCTGTTTTTTGTGGACATCCATCATCTAGAATATCTTTGGGAAGCTCTGGCTCCAGCTTCATTTCACTTCATGTCTTCATCCCTGCCAGTACTCACATTGGCCCCAGATGGGTCATTCCAAGCCAGTTGCTCTCCAGAGAATCCTTTCCCAGCCTCACAGAGAGGAAACAACACCATGGAAAGGATGTTTTAAATCATAGTGAAAACCATAAGCACAAACAGCTTGCAAAACTGGGATTGACTTGGTTATTGCCAATGCCCTCATCAAATATGTGGTAATATCCCTCGGAAGTCATTTGCGGCACTTTCCTAATTACTTGGCTTCTCACACTGAGCTGTAAGGTCAAACCTGTTCAGGACAGATGCCCACTAGTAGGGCAGCGAGGGTGAACAGCTACAAGAAAAATATGTTTTACTTACTCCAGAAGCAAAAACATAACACACAGAACTACCCCCCCCAATACCTTTTTTTTTTTTTTTTTCTCTCCTACAGCAACAAAGAGAGATGGAGTAGCCTCAGCCTTTTGTAAACTCAATGTACCCTCCTGCTTTCTACAAGCACCTAAATCAGTCCTGCCAGGACTCATGCTTGTCCCACTGCACCATCCACACGAATGGCCAGACACGAAGGTGGAAACAGCACACATGGCCCATAACAACTTTGTTCTGGCATCAGTTCCCTGACTTGAAGAGAGCACCAGGTGCTTGTCACACAAGTCCAAGCACATCGAGTGCTTTCGGGGCTGAAAATTTCTTCTACCTTCCCTAACTCCAATTTTCCCCTTTCACACCATCCCTACACACAGAAGTGCATCAATAGCCAAATTGTATGTGGTAGCCCCTGGGGTCATTTCAGCAGAAGGCAGATGCTGACACGTGCTGGCAGGGCAGTATGAGGTAATTTGCTCTGTCACTCAGTGCCACAGACTGAATTTGCATCTCCAGCCCATGTGAGAGACTTTTGATGAATGCTTGGGTTCAAATACACTTTTTATGTTTGGTTAATTTAATTCCTTTTTATTATTGAGATCCCCCCCCCACACACACACACAAAACCCACAAGGCTTACCAATCAGATGCTCCGTGTTGTTTTTCTTGGGTGTCTCTCTCTGGGGATCCATCCCAGTTGGGGGAAGCTCTGGTCCCCTCACAGATGAGACAGCAGCATACCTTGAAACCGCGGAGCACTCGTGCGAAGCGCTGAAGAGAGAAGCAGGGTGAGAGAAGCAGAAATCCCCACTGGCAGGAGAGCCCTCTGGGAGTCAGTTACCCTGGTGAGAGGGGGATGTTTACAGAAACAAAGTCTTGCGGATGACGGTTGTCTCTGAAGTAACTCCATGGTCTTCTGTGGCCGTCTTCTGGCCAGGGAAGTACTTGGCCCAGGTGGTTTTACACCCCACAAAATCCAAATGATTTCTATGCATCAGTAATACCTGTCACCAGAGAGAAAAAACAAGACAGGACAGAAGGAGAAGATGAAGAGGGCAGAAGTCCTATGAGGAGTGGCTGAGGGAACTGGGGCTGTTCAGCCTGGAGCAAAGGAGGCTGAGGGGAGACTTCATCGCTCCCTGCAACTACCTGAAAGGAGGGTGTAGCCAGGTGGGTGTCAGTTTCTTTTCCCGAGTAACAAGTGACAGGACAAGAAGAAATGGCCTCAACTTGCACCAGGGAAGGTTTAGATTGGATATTAAGAAAAAATTCTTCTCCGAAACGGTTTATCAAGCACTGGCTGCCCAGGGAACTGCTTGAGTCACCATTCCTGGAGGTATTTAAAAGACATGTAGACATGGTGCCGAGGGACATGGTTTAGTGGTGGACTTGGCAGGGTCAGGTTTATGGTTGGACTCAATGATCTTAAGGGTCTTTTTCAACATAAATGGTTCTATGATTTTATAAAGCCAGAGGATACAGACCGAGTACTGCTCCTCTGCTGTACGCTTCTGAGTATCACAGGGTCAGCTACTGTTCAGTTCTCAAACACTGGCAGCATAAATAATCCTCCAGGTGAGGTCCCTGTGCTGTGCAAAATAGCTCATCACACACTTCTTGATACTGCACATCACAACAGGCCGAACCCTGTTGTGCTAAATAACCTAAACACTGCAGTAGAAGCATTTCAGCTCCAAAGCCTTAATATTTTTTTTCCCCAAATAAGACTATTCTTCACAAAACACTTCTTAATCTTGACAATCAAACTAAGCACAGCATTTCAGATGAAGCCATTTCTGAAGGCTGCAGGAGAGCAGCAGAGAGTTTGTCTCTCAAAGGACACAAACCTGTTCCTTGTTATTTGAGAATAAATGGGAGGTGGCTTTCCATATGTAATTTATGAGTTTGACATATACCTGCATTAAATATATGGCTGTTTTTTGTGGACATCCATCATCTAGAATATCTTTGGGAAGCTCTGGCTCCAGCTTCATTTCACTTCATGTCTTCATCCCTGCCAGTACTCACATTGGCCCCAGATGGGTCATTCCAAGCCAGTTGCTCTCCAGAGAATCCTTTCCCAGCCTCACAGAGAGGAAACGACACCATGGAAAGGATGTTTTAAATCATAGTGAAAACCATAAGCACAAACAGCTTGCAAAACTGGGATTGACTTGGTTATTGCCAATGCCCTCATCAAATATGTGGTAATATCCCTCGGAAGTCATTTGCGGCACTTTCCTAATTACTTGGCTTCTCACACTGAGCTGTAAGGTCAAACCTGTTCAGGACAGATGCCCACTAGTAGGGCAGCGAGGGTGAACAGCTACAAGAAAAATATGTTTTACTTACTCCAGAAGCAAAAACATAACACACAGAACTACCCCCCCAATACCTTTTTTTTTTTTTTTCATTTCAGAGCAACTCTTTTATTGAAAATAACTTTATTTCAAGCCATTCGAATGCCATAATCTACACAGCTGCTTATACCATCAGATAGATGAGCAAAACATATTAAAATCTAACAGAAATAATTGCTCCCTGCTGTTTATTGATAATTCCCTGGGGTGCCTGTAAATATATCCCTTGAAAGGTGGCAAAAGCAGATGGTGTTTTTCTTTTACTTTCGTGAACACCACTGTATTTGCTTCTCCAGCTTAACTTCAGCTGCACTTTTGGTCCCCCTTTCAAAAATTGGAAGTCAAAGGCTGGACAATCTTAAGCCCTTCTCCTTGGGGCTGTACTGGGGCATGTGGGTAACTCGTGTCCTGAAGTGCTTTAAAATACTCAAGAGAGGCAAATACATGTAGGCTTTGGGGCAGAGTAATTTACACGGAGAGCCTGGTGCAGCCCTGTGCCACTGAGCCGTGCCACAAAGAAAACCAGTTTGAGTCCAAAGGCACTTGAGCAGGAGCTACAGACTTAGAAGCAACATTAGATGGATGTGGTTGGGGTCGGTGGCAGCTCAGCTGTTTCTGCAGCGTGCTGATCCAGCCGAAGACTTCAACTTTTCAGCTTCCATTCCAAAAGCAGCACAAAGGCTGGGGTCAGGCACGATGATGAGGTGCTTACCTGCAAACGAGCCGTTTCCCAACAGTTCTCTACCTTTTCCAAAGGCAACAGTTCTTTACAGTTGCCCTAAAATGTCCAGTTGCACCCACTGGTCTCACCACCCAGTTGCAGAGACTGAATCCTACAGACCAAGCAGCTGCTTCCAAATTTGTTAAAACCAGAACAGGAATTCTTCCACACGGCCATTTCTAAACAGTGCTAATCCCAAAGGTATGGAAGAAGTCATC